TTTTTTTTTTTTTTTTTTTTTTTTTTTTCTCTCTCTCCCCAACTCTCACACGATTCTTTTCGTCATTCATTTTTTTCCATAATTTAATCTGGGCATTTAATCTACTCTACACTTATTTAGGTTCTTATGTTGTCCCTCTTTCTCGCGCAATCTGAACTTCTTCGGAGAGAAACAAACAAATCACCATAACCATGGCGGTTGCATCTAAATCGGTCCAATGTTTCCGGTGCAAGTGAACGGTGGGTGGTTTATGGCCCATCAAACTCTTTTAGAAGAGTTGAATCTAGGGTTTTTGCGTTTCTCATCGTCAGTCTCATCTCAAATGGTATGTTCGTCACCAAATTTCGCAAATTTGTGTTCTGCAGCACTCTTATCTTCTTTTTTTTTTTAAATATTTCACAAGGTAAAATTGTTTACTTTTATTAATTTTGGGGTTGTTTGATTGATTGTGTAGAATCCATATTTTTTCGTATTATTTTTGCTGCAATTTTGGGTGTTTATGTTGTTGGTATCATATTTTTTGGAGCTTATTGGGTATACTGATTATTGCTCATGCATTTTTTTTTTTTCTTTTTTGTTTATTTGCACAAAGGATTATGTGTTGGGTTTTTTTTTTTTAAATATTTTTTAACAAAAATTAAAGACTATCATCAGTATTTCAAGGTGATTTAAAGTACAAAAACTTTATTTTCAAGGGTAGGCTATAACGTGAATTTGGTAGATGGAATAAAATCAACAAACCACCGTTTATTATGAGTAATTATTGCAAATATTGTTCTTAGCAAATTTCTTTTATTCTAGGCATCCTACTTTGAAAAATGTCTTTTAAAGTGGCAGTTTATATATATCTTCAAAGATAGTTGTTTTCATGTTATTTACCCGTTATTATGTTATTGTTTTGTTCTTGCACACTCAGTATTTTGCGTAACAATTATGTTATGTTTTGTTGTTGCATCGTATGTTTTTGAGTTCTTCGTATTCATTTGATTTATTATATGACTATATGTATTCAATATTTTTTTATTTTTGTTGGTGTTAATTTAATTTAGCAAATATTTATGTTGCTTTTAGTTAATTTAATTTTTAATTTTTTTGTATAAGGAGGACAAGATGCAGGAGAAGAAAAAGAGGAAAAACGTTTCACGAGAAGAGAAACCAGAGAAGAAAAAAAAGGAACGAAAAAAATAGAATAATTATTAGTTCGAATTTCAAATTGATGTAACTTCTTATTTGAGCAGTTTTAAAATTTAATATATTCCCAATGCGGATAATTGTGGAATCTCATATAGTCAACTTCTTTTATGGAATACTTTTATCAAATTGGAAGAGTTTATATTTAAGAAGTTAATTTATCTTTATTTGATTGTTCAAAATTTGACCCAAAAAATAAAATAAAATTAAATGCCGAGAATAAATGGCAATAGCATGTTATATTGGGTTTAATATTCTCATCAATATTTATTGTATCAATTAAATTGGGCTTCCAAAATTTGTGATTTACAATAAATGTAAATTTACATAGATTTT